ACAAACTTTACTTATGCAAACCTTGCTATGCACATAAATCTCAACAACTTCTCTTTCTCACATTTTGGATATCAAATATCATGCAATCTTCTCAATGCAAATAGATAATGATTTTCCAAAATAGATATAGGTTTTTGAAATAGATCATAGGCTATACTTAGAGCCAAAAATGCACTTTAAGCAATGAAATCTACTAACATGCTCTTTACTGTGAAATATATGCTCTAAATCTCATTCACTGTGAAATAAGGAAAATCATGCACTGCATCATGCTAAAGTCTCAACACTTAACAAATCTTCTCAATAAATACTATCAAGTATTTAGGCATGTTTCTCAATCAAATAACAATGCTTCAAAGCTATAAGTTCATTTACTGATGTAGTTCACAAACAACAACAATCAACAGAGTATTCATTTCTCACATTTCTAACTGTAAATCATGCTTTCTAACTCCAAATCAAACGATACTAACTTCTACAAGCGCGTCGTAACGAGCCCAATTATCCAAGCCTCAAGGGCCCACGAGTCCCGGTCCGAACGACACGTAGGTGAGCCACAGAGGGCCTGGCCAGACACAACTTTGGTCGGGCGGAACTTGGTGACGGGGCTCGGGAAGCCCCGCCACTTGGCTTCGCCAAGCAACGGTGCCGGGCAACAGATCATGCCTAGATCCGTTGCCTTGGTCCGCTATTCTACGAACCTGGCCAACGAATCATGCCTAGATCCGTTGCATGGTTAGGTCCATTGAGTCTTCTGGTGCACCAAACTATCTTCTTCGCTGGTAGACAAAACCATATGCAATCTAACACTTCCAAACCTCAATAAATCAAACATAGATCTTAAACAACACACAAATAGCTCAACAACAAACATTATCTAGCATTTCTATGCATCTAAATCTCATTTCTTGCATTTAACAGAGTCAAAAATCTAGTTTGGGAGTCCATGGTTTATACCTTTAGCTTCTTCTTCTTGTTGTGTAGATCTGATAAGTGCTTATTTGTCTATATTTTCCCTCCTTTCACTAAGCCATTTTGTTTATAGATCATTCCAAATTTCATGAGATTATGACGAAATTGTGTTATTTTGCAAGGAGTTTGGTTTGGAAAGCATTGGAAGGAAAGATGAATAATATCATGCATTTTGGTGGATATTGAAGTCAAGTGGAGCATTATAGATACATTTAGAGTCCATGGGAGCCAAGAAAAAGCTAAGAGGATGGGCAAAACACTTCCAAGAAGCCTAAGAGTGGTGTATGTTGTGTTTTTGCAGCAGCAAAACTGAAAGGTATGAGATCAACGGATGTCTAAGACACAAAGTATTTTGAGATTTGTTGGTTGTTTATCGGGGAAATGAAACTTCTGTGTCGTGTTAAGAAACACTTCCTTAAAAGCGTTTACGACCAAGGTATCGCATGCTCTCGACATAAACACAGAACTACAAGAAAAAACCTGTATAACTCAGGCAATATGAACGGTGGATGAACGCATAGTGTATACAGAGAGGAATTGTATTGCATGTTTCTGCAGTGGAGTATTGAGACAGTTAAATATTGTGTATTATAACTGCCCACTCACCACAGCACACACAAACCATCCTAAAATGTGGGAAGGTGTAAGACCGAGCACTGAACATGGAGTTCTTGGGCGGACAAGGTGCTGAGATGATCCAAAAAAATACACACCACACCGCGACGTGCGTTCCGTGTGGGCGGTGACGGCGGCACGCGCGTGGTTTCCCCTTGTTTCTCCTCCATAATACTTCAAGCCTTCATTAAAGTGCTGATGTATATAGATATCCAATGTGGGATAACTAGCAAAAGACAAAATAGCTTGCCTTTGCCTTTAAATTCTCCTAATAGTGTATTCAATGGTCTTAGTCATTTGGGCAAACCAAAGCAAAAGAGAAGCAAAAGATCATGGAATTGAAATTCCCGATCTGCACAACGAAACCTTAGTTTTAGGACCATATCTCGGCCTAGGAATGTTCAAATTTAGTTATTCTTGCTCCATTGCAAAGAAGACTCGAATAGCTACAACTTTCATGCAGACATCAAAGCCTATGTCTGAGCATAAAGTGGTCAAAATCAGCCTACAAGTCGGAGTTACGTTGCAGATAAACACTCGACGCGTCGAATCTTGGCAGAATAGCGCGTTTTTCATACTGTAAATGTTTGACGCGTCAAAACTCCCCGCCTCTGTTCCTTTTTAGCTGAGTTTTCACTCATTTATACATGGTTTTGAACCCCATTCGAACCATAATTATTTTCTACTCTTTCCTTTCATATTTTAGTATTAGATTAGGTGTAGATTTAGGTTCTTTATCGTATTTCAAGCTTGTATTGAAAGATCTACACTTGAATTTCAAGATTCTACCATCATTTCAATAGATAATTTTCTTTTCCCCTTTTATCTCTTTATCTTGCAATGTTTATGCTTTACACTTGTGTTTTTGTGTTCTTTATGCTATTAAATCATGAGTAGTTAGTATGTTGGACTTGAGATGGGGTTGTATTACCTATCTTGATGCTTAGTTTGTGATTATTGCATAAAGGGGAAGAACTCTAACCTAGGGTTCTTGAGTTTATGAAGGATTTGTGTTTGTATATTGTTAATGCTAGGTGTACAACATTCATTAGCATGTTTTGGAGGATTCATGGCCTCAATGAGAGTTGGGTCAAGATTCCAAGCTACTCCTTGCATAAACCCGATTTTTCCTATAAAATGGGGGAAATTGGGGGTTTTAGATGATTTGTGTTCTTGAAGAACTTGGAGTTGATTCACCACGAGAGTGGGGAAATTCCTTGTTCTAATCCTTGTTAATTTGCTCACGTGAGTGACTTATAGACTAGGATTCCTAAGTGCATCCCCTCTATTCCTTGGTTCTGTGATTTTCCCCAATCCTTAGGTTGTGCTTTGCATCTAGAAGACAATGCTCCCTAGCTTGAGTCCTATTTCTTTATTTCGTGTTTACATCTTGTTCATATGTGTTCGTGTTATTTTGTTTAGTTACCATAGTCTTAACTTCGTTATGATTTGCTTAGCTTCTTGATGGTTTCCTTATGCTAGTGCCTAGTTTATTGCGATTGCATATTGCGTGCCATAACCCCCAATCCCCTGAGGACGACATTTCACACCCGTATACTCACCATCACTAATTTTTGCTACAATCAGGATCCCCCCTTCCTCTCTACTCAGGTTTCACCACCCTCACTTCCTAAACTCCTCAAACAAACCACACAAACAACACTTAAGGAAGGAACCTCAGAGCTTGAAGGGAAAGAAATGGGAAACCTTAAGTGAGATGATGAAATGAATGGATGGGAAAGAAACTTACTGTGTTTTTCCTTCTACAGAGAGCTCAGATTTGATAGAGAGGCAAATGAAAGGGATCAGGGAACTTCAATGGAGTGGAGATGAATAAATAGGGTGCAAAACCCTAGGTAGAATGCAAATGATTGGTTGAGGGTGAAAGTGTAATTTTTCTGCTTGCTTCTCATTGCAAGTTGCCCTTCGTCGCCGATTACTTCTCTCATCGCTAGTTACCTTTCGTCATTAAGCAATCCAACGACAAGCAATCACGCCCTTCGTCACTAGCAATATTGTTCTCACCGAAGTCACGATTTCCCCAATTCCCTAGTTTCCCTTTTTTGTTTTTTTTTTTTTTTTTCTCTCTATTCCTTAATTTTATATTTTAGATTTAAACCATTCCAAATTTCAATTATTTCTGATGTTCGTTTCTTTCTCTCTTAGTTTGATTTTCTTAAGATAGTTTAATTGTGTTGGGATGAATCCCGGATTTTGTCGTTCTCAAGGGATTGCCGCTCGGATTTTGTCGTTCTCAAGAACTAAGCTTGTATCTATCAAATCTTCTCTACAAAAGTGTTTCTCTCTAATTCTAAATGCTAAGCTATCTATTTCTCTTTCTAAAATTGTATCTCCTCCCTACAAATTTGATCCAAAACACTTTAAATAGCCTCCCCTTTAATTTCCTTTCGGAACCCCATCAACGCAACCTCCACAATTGTGCAACGTGTGCTGCAACGCACGTTGTGGACTCGTTGCTAGGTCCCGGCTTGCCTTCTTATCCTGCTTTCATTCCGGTTGTGCCACTTTGCCTCGTTTAACCCCGAAACTCACCTAAAAACCTGTAAAACGTAAAGTGCGGTGGTAATTTTCAATGTAATGCAAAACATAGCTAATTGGCACAATATTGCTACACATATGATTACTTTTAGCCTAGAATTCACCGTAAATGGACCTTAAAAGTGTGCGTCTTTGACACTTATCAAATTCCAATCGGAAACATATTATATTAGTATGCTTTTTTTATTATTATTTTTTCTTTGAATACTAGGAAGTATAATGTAAATTTCCAGTACTTTTCCAATAAATTAAAATTGTGATAATTGCTAGCTTGTTAATTTAAATTGTTAATGTTAACTAATTTTATTTGATGATGAATTAGATGTTTTAAGATTATGAAAAAAATGGGGTTGGGAACCCCGTGCCCGATAAATCCCTGCGAAGATGAGGATGAGGTTAATTCCCAATCACGTCGGGGAACAGGGTTGGGACGGGGACCCCAGTCACTACCTGGTTGCCATCACTAATTATAAAAGTAGAATATACTCCAACATATAATATTGAAAATTAATTGATAGTAGCTACACTATATAAACAAATTAGGTGCACAAAATATATAGAAGCACAACACACTATGATTGCTAAAGTAATTTCGTTATTCGAATGCATGTAAACAAAACAAAAAGTTTATTCGGATCAAGTAAACAAAACAAAAAGAAATCTAAATTTCATTGCGAGTGAATAATGCATGTAAATATTTGCATAGCAGAAGAAAATAGAACAAATTCTCATTACCTTTAGGAGCAGTAGTAGCAAGTGAATCAACCAGGTTGTTTTCCTCATCATCGCTATCGCTAGTAATACTTTTGTATTTTGGGGTATCGGTTCTTCTTCTGCCTCCGCCTTCTATTAACCTTTTTCCTCCTTGCTGCAAATCCCCTTTTCATACGCCACATTGGGTTCCACCGCCTCCATCTCCTCATACTTCCCCTTCTTGCTGCAACTCCCGTCTTCATTCACCAGCTTAGTTTCTACCTCATCCACCTTCCTTTTCCCGCCCAACATCTCATCATTAACGTTGGCCTTTCTTTTCCCCTCAATACTTCTTTTCTTTTCCTACTTGTTGCTATTTCATCCACCACTCACTCCAATTTATAGTGCTCATCTACATATCTCACCCATGCTTCATCCTCAATTTCCACCATTGTTATTATTTCATTTATTATTATTTATTATTATTATTATTATTATTAATTACTATTCATTTTCCTTTTTAAGTTCTTATGTATGTTGAAATCTAAGGATTAATCCTTAATTGTTAATATAATTAATGTATTTCATTTTTATAAAAATGTATTAATAGGAAAAAAAATTGCCCATTTCCAAAATGACACACATAACCTTAATAGGAAAAAAATTCAGAACAAAATATTACAATAATTCTAAATTTGGTTTGTTCCCACCTCCTTACTACTTTACCTTGTATAAAAAAAAAAATTCTTTTATTGCTATAAATTAAATGGTAAACATTTAAAATAGTTTAACAAATATATAATTATTATAATTTTTATTTTAGATTTTTTTTTCTTTTTTTTACATGTAACGATTTGAATTAGAATAATTAATATTTGTGCATTAAATATAAAAAGAAAGACATTATTACTTTACTTTTTTCTTAAAAAATAAAAATATATTATATTATGTTACCCCTAATTTCACAAGATATTAGTGATGAAGTTAAAATTAAAAATATAAAAAAAAAAATAATATCTAGAATTTTACCACATCATGAAGTGGTTGAATTGTAATGATAAAAAAATTAATGTAATTAACATTTTCCTTACAATTAAGGATTAGTGGTTCACTTATTACCATGAAAAAAGGATTAATGTAATTTATAATTAATAAAATAATGACAGTAGGAAACGTGGGATAAATCATAAATGACAAATATGTGAATGACATTATAAATTGACAAGCATATATATATATATATATATATATATATATATATATATATATATATATATTACAATCCCTAACGTAAACAACTAAACATAATGTCTTTTTTCTTTTAGGAAAAAAAAAAAGTAATAATGTATTTCTTTTATTTCATCCAAATATTTCAAAAAGTTTAAATTTTAATTATCCTAATCCATATCATCAAATACAAAAAAAAAAAAAAAAAAAAAAAAAAAGAAGAAGATAAATATTACAATAATTTTAATTTGTCAATTTCCTTTTTAATGTTTACCATTTAAAGCAATAAAAGAACAAAAATTATGTTACTGCTATAAAAAGTAAATAAAATAATAAAGAAGAATTGGACAAATTCGCAATTATTAAAACATTTTATCTTAATTTTTTTCCTTTTACGGTTGTTGTGTTTATCATTTTGAATTAGGATAAAGTTTTGTTATATTGAAAAAGATAAACACATTAAATTCGATCCTAACCACATATGCATACTAACTAAATAATAATAATAATAATAATGGTGAAAATAGGTGATAAACGTAACCGTGAAAGATATGTAGATAAACACTATAAATTGAAAATAGTGGAGATGGAGACAACAACAAGAGAAGAGAAGAAAAATGGTGGGGAATTAGATGTTGGGTGGGTAAAAGGTGGAAGCCAAAGTGGAATATGAAGACGGAAGTTGCAATAAGAAGGGGAAGCATGTGGATCAAGCCATGATATTCGACCAAAAAACAGTGCTCAAAATATTCAATCCCTCGCTTTGACCTGTGGATCAAATTAAACATCTTTAATTGCCACTTCAGCCACTTTTAGTGATTAGATAAAAAATCTTAGGGTTTCCAACACTCTTAAAAAATGATGATATACCAAAGAGCACTGTGTGATAAGAAATTCATATATGTAAGAAATTAAATATTGTTACAAATATAATATTTTCATTAAAAAAAATATAATGCGTGTTAAATTAAAAAGTATTATATAAGTGAGATCTATATATCCGACATGAGAATTTTTAATCAATAATGACATGCATATATATAGGTATAATATAGTAATAGTGTTTGAGTATATTTTGGACGTGAAAACTATATATATATATATATATATATATATATATATATATATATATATATATATATATATATATATATACCTGGATGTGGTTTGATTATGCGTGAATGGAGAACTGGTTCGGTTCTTAGCTGGCTGGGCGGACATGAATTGATCTGATCTGAGATCTCGCGACGTCTTCCTCTTACCGCACCAACTACCCTATATATCGTGTTAGTGTTTTTAAATGTTCAAAACCCCCATATTATAATTGGCAATATTATTATGGCATACTAAGATAGGTTTAGAGTCTGTCCGTTTAGCTCTACAGATAACTGATCAATCAGAAGCAACAACAGAAGGACAAACACTGAAGATCTGATTTAGGAAGCTGGTTTCTTAAAAGGCTTACGCGGTATTATCAGACTCATATGGAAAGATGATCAGCGTATATTCTTAAGAAAGGTATGGACCTAATCTTCTGGGATTACATTCCTCTTTTATAGCCCTACCTTCTACAATCAAAGACATCTATGAAGAGTGGTTATTGAAGGATCTATAAGTACCCTTATTCGAAGAGAATTAGGGTTACGCCATAAAGTAAGAAGAAACACTCCATATCTGCTATATGAGATTAGATCTTTGATTGTCATGCATCTTCTCAATACAATATGTTCACGGTGATTAAGATGATGAACTTGAGAAGAGTTACTGCTGCTTAAATGAAAGGACACTGTGATCACACTGTTGTGGGAACAACTTTATAGAGCGTCATTGAAGTGGACTGCATCAGAGTGGGCTCTCCAAGTGAAGGGATTTCATTGGACTTCTGTATGCATGGCTCTCCATCTTCAACAATCCACTAGACCTGTGTAGACTGGGTTTGAACCTTGTGTGGGGCACTTGGGTAAGATTATTGTATATCTACCTTTGTAGATTGTTTTATGATTTAGCGGATTGGACGCCTATGTGATCGTCCCCCAGACGTAGATACACACCGTATCGAACTGGGTAAACATTCTGTGTCTTTGGCTTTTGTGCGGTTATCTTTCTCTCATTCTCTCTTCATGATTTATCATTACTGATTGGCCTCTTATCTGAATCAATCAGTAATCTACATCAGTCATCTAATTCTGTTAATTTACTTAAAATGAGGAATTGCAAAATTACATGTGGTATCAGAGCTTTTAAGTCTACATAGTGACTTGATCCGAAGGGCTGTTTTAGTTTTGCATTCTCTCTGTTTTTGTGCAAGTCTCTCTGTGTGTTCGTGTAACACCCCGTGTTACGACCCCTAAAACTAATTAATCATTTAACCAATTGCCCAAAAGAAAGAATCAAATTACAATAATATATTAGGAAAAGGCCCACCATAGTCCGTGGGCCCTCTTCTCTAAACCCAACCTCTAGTCCTAAAAGGAATAGAGTTAGCAAGCCTATAGTATTTGGGCCCTAATTAGGACGCTTAGACATATAAATAAGGGACATAGGAGGCACCTAGAACCCCCACCACAATAATCTCTCATCACACCAAGAATCCCAAGAATCCCCCTGGGAGAAATCAAGAAAGAAGAAAGCTTAAAAGAAAGACCCTTCATAGCCAAGGGATTAATTAGGGCTAAGAGGTAACCCATGTCTCAACAAAACCTATTTTCATATCTATGATTCCCCTCTTATGATTTCCCCCATATGCTTGTGTGATTGATGATTCGTTATATTGGTCTTGGTAATTGGTGTTATAATTCCATGGGTGATCTTGATGATCTTGAGAGGTTCTTGATGATTATATGGTGTTCTTGATGTTCATGATAATTATATGATGTTTATGTGAAATTCCTACCGAATCTTGATATTAGAAGATAAATTGTGTTCTTGTCGATTTAAAAGTAATTAGAACCCTAGGTTGTATCGTGGAACTCGTATGGTATCATTCTCGGTATATTGGGTGGGAATTTGTATGTTTAGGTGTTGATTATGTTTAGAAAAGCATGATAGGTTATGTGCCGCATGTTCTTGCTTTTGGATCCGTTAATTGTCTACGTATTGTTGTCAATTGCGTTTGAAAGTGTCTATGCGTGGTTTCGGGTTCCACAAAGGTTCCCGGGGCGTTTTTGGTGAAAAAGAGTCAGTGGGGGCTAGGGGACCCGCCACCTACCCGCGGCCAACTTGGGCAACGCCGGCAGCGGGCAGCCGGCGGGCGGGCAGCTGAACACCGGGCACCCGCTGCCCGGAATTACGCCACCGGCGGGCAGCCGGCAGGTGAACCCTCACCCACCGGCTACCCGCTGGAAAATACCCCATCTCGGGATTTCGGCTTCCCCGTTTGATGTTCCCCCGACCCCCGTGGTGTCCCAACGGACTCCGTCTATCGTGCCAATGTCTAGTTTGATATTTCGGGTACCGTTCGTAGGTTGTATGAGACTTATATATTGCATGCTAGTCGAATTGGTATCCTGTTGACCTAGGTAAAAGGAGTATGTACCCCTTAGGATTATTCTTAGTATGTGAAGGATCACGCATAGGTTTTGTTATACGTTTTCTCCCCATTCCCAATGTGTTAATGTGGGTTGCATGTGCTTGCTATGTGTTATGTGTGCATGATACCCCAATCCGGTTGCGATCGGATTGGTTATTCCTGAGCTGCGGTTCAGAAGCTGGCTGTGGTCAGATTTACACTCTCGGGCTGCGGTCCACCGTTTGGTTGCGATCAAACGTTTCTACATGAGCTGCGGTTCATATTTCCTGGCTGCGGTCAGATGACATATTCTTGGGCTGCGGTCCACTGTTTGGTTGCGATCAAACTATGATGAGCTGCGGTTAATCGGTCGGTTGCGATCGACCCCTCCGTGTTGCTATACGGGGCAGGGTGCTGCGGGGCCGTGTCAGAGCTATATGCGCTGACCCTCATGTATGGGCATGCGATTGGTCCTGTGGCGCCAACAAAGTGTGCTTGCGTGATGAGATATGGATGCGTTGTTGTTATGAGTATCTTGGGATGTGACTTTGGGATTTAGGACGGGAATCGTATATGT